AAGGATGGTTGATTGATTAAAACGGGGAAACCTTTGAATCACCATTTGGGACTTTCTTTAAAAAATCCGAAACTAATTATTTAAGCCACAGCTTGTGCTTTTTTTTCGTTTGTGGAACTCGATTATCGCACCCCCGGTTCCGGTTTGTTAAAAGTTAATTGCCTTTCGATGGTCTTTAAGGGGGCCACCTGGCGGGGGCCCGATCACAATTCGCGGATTTATGGTGCAGCCACCATCTGCAGCGTCTTTATACATAAGTCATGAAGAGGGTGCATTACCATAATGCCAGTACACTGACAATTTTCTACGCATTAATTCCAAGTGTTGTATTTAAAACAGGGAGAGGAATAATTGATGTCGGTTCTGCACGAGCAAACATCAAAACATTATCCAAATCAAAGGTACACAATATTTTAAGTAAACAGACGGTTTCATTTCGTTGCGTGCAAAGCCCGATCGATGGTCAGCAATTCCGGGTAAACTCCGGTCGAAAAGTTACCGGATTTTAATTAGAATGTAAAATTGAAACTTGGAAAGTTCCGCCCGGAGTAACAACAGACCAACAAGATTTTTGCGTATCGCATAATTAAAAAAGTTGAGTCGCGTGTCGACAAGACAATCCGTGAATGTGAAGAATGTAAATAAGAATTTTCTCACTTTAAGTATGTCTCGTATGAATAATTCAGCGCGAGCCGAAATCGAATTTCTCCGATGCAAATAACTCAACATTAATCACCCGAACTTTACGACACTCTTAAATACAAATCGGCGATTTTTACGAGTTATAAATCGGTAAATCTCACCTGTTGGTGACGTTTCAGTGCGAGAGAGATTCATGGTGGTCAAAACGGCGATATTTGTCGTAAATAATTTTTCTAAGGCCACCCTTTTAGCCTCGTCACGTGGCGGAGACCTAATATTCATAAATCAAAAGTTCACGCTGCGAGACACTGTGAAATGGTGATTTAGGGCGACAGCTCGATGTGTTTCATTGCAACTTTGTTTCGGAGGTTCCTGAAATCTGCATATTTGCATTTCGCTCATCACATGCGTGACAACACGCTTTTATTACGTACAAATTGGATACAAGCATTCACAAATCAAAGACAAGACGGCCGCAATCAACCACTGCGATCACACGGAATGACTTTTGTATGCAAATGACCGGCGGAGGTGATTGCTGGAAGTTGGGCTTTCCGACGAGTCGGAAAATTTCCAAAGTTTGGAAGATATCGCGAGATTTATTGCGCGGACAATAATTTATAACGGAACTCAATCGCGAAACTTAAATTTACTTTTCGTCCAATTGGGGGAATTGGGGCTGTAGCAGATGTCTGAACTGAATTGGAATGGTTTAGATTTAGACTAGATTTTATCACCATATTTTTAAATACGAGAAATATATTTATTTGCAAAAAGCTAAGGTGAAAGTTTAAGACCAAAAGTCTTGATTTCTCAACATACAGGATGCGCCAGAACTCGCGTTCCAGAGAAAAATGACATGTAAGGTAAGATACCAGGAACATGGTAAAAATGTTTAAAAATTTCTACCTCTAAAAATTTCGAAATAATGAGAGTTTAAATTTTGCACTTTGACTCTATTTACTTCTGTTGGAAAAATAATTTTCCAAGGTTTTTCGCTACAGGCTATTAGAAGAAGAAACAAGGAAGTTGTATCCTCAATTGAAATTCTGTTTAGTGTTATTTTAGGCTTTTATTGACCAAATTTTTGAACCTACGAGTTTTACTGTTAGTGGTTAGAATATTTGCTCGTAATTCGCGAACAATACGTATAAAACTTGAGAATTACGTGATGACAAGTAAGATACGAAATTGATACTAAATCATAGATAAAAAAAGGACAGAGTCGAGAGTCTGACTTATATTAATTAACCTTTGGATTTTAAACATTTTTTATCATAATAGCGGATATTATACAGGGTGCGCCAGAACTCGCGCCCCAGAGAAAAATACCATATAAGGTAAGACACCAGGAACATGGAAAAAATGTTAAAAAAATTTTATCTATAAAAATTTCAAAGTTATGAGAGTTTAAAGTTTGCACTTTGACTCTATTTATTTCAGTTGGAAAAATAATTTTCAAAGTTTTTTGCTATAGGCTATTAAAAGAGGAAACAAGGAAGCTGTATCCTAAATTGTAACTCTGTTCAATGTTATTTGTGGCTTTTCCGCGTAAACGTATTCATTTAATAACAATTAACAACCAATTGAAATTTAACAAAAACATGATTTTCACAGAATAAAGATAAAAATTTACATTTCTGCTATGTTATCTAGAAAAGTACTATTATCACTGTTATCAATCATTGTGTCAACAATAGAGTATTTTTATAAAATATTTCTGTTTCAATAGTTGGTATTGGAGTTGAAACTAAGCACTTTTTGATTAAATAAGAATAATAATAAAATGTATTTACGTGTATTCGTATTTTTTTTTCTTTGACTTATAGGTACAACATTTTTCCGCAATATATAAAATAAAAAATCCCTTATAATATTCGATTGATTTTGAGGCGCTAATTATAAATCTGTAGGGTTTTTTTCTAGCTCCTTTAGTTTTGCCGTAATCGTCGCTTAAAAATTGATAATTGTTAAAACTGTAAAATTTTATAACAGTCATACCTCGAAAACTTTGCGTCCTCGGTCAAAATAGTTTATACAGGTGTATCCTACTGTCAATTTTACATACAGGACTAGTTTTTCATTAGATTCAAAATTTTTTGAATTTTTGGTTACAATGTCTTAAAATCTACTTACTCATCGTAGAGTATTTGAAGCTATTGCATCGTGTTCAACATATAATTTGTCGTCTAAAATACCAGATTTCAAGCGTTTTTGCGACAAAAATTTGATCCACCATTTTTACAAAAATTCAAGATTTTCTTGTTTTTTTTAAACTTGACTCAATAGCGTTTTATGCACTTTTAGTCTTGTACAACGTTATACTTTTTTAAATCTCTTAGACTCTTAGGAAGAAAGCATTTGGTTCCATTTTGAAGTCTTTAATTTTTTCGATTTTTGTCAAAATTTTTGACGATTTTTGGTACCTATAGCGGACTATTTAAAGTTGAAAATTTAAGTAAAAATGGTTTTGATCCGAACCCAATCTTGACCCAGTATGTATAATTAAATTACAATAAATTGTTTATAATAATTAATAATAAATTAAACAATGTGGAATCATTTTTTGTCCTTTGTCTCACCACAAGTCTTCTGTGAAATGATTTTCATGCGCAATTTTTTGCTAGTGTTTGTTTCTTATGGTGAATTAGCTGTCGTGGGAGTGGTTTGACTTAGTAACCGTCGCCTAAAAGAGTCTGAAAGTTCCCGCCTGTGAACCACTCTTGCACATGCCGTTCATAACTCAAACTTCGCACTCCCACACTCCAATAAACATTTTGAGCCGATTTCAACAGGTTATCTCGCCTTGCACCCAGTTAAAACATTTATAAAGTCTGAACAGTCTCGCTGACGTGCCTTTTACCGACATATGGCCTTGTTTATCCCGCTTTCCTGCGTGCCCACATCGTCTGGAAGAGCGGTTCCTTTCATTTCGGATTGATTTACGCGAAAAAATCAAAGCGACTTTTTCTCAGAACCGCCGGTTAATTAGGCGACGCGAACGAGCCTCAAACATTCGGAATGTTGGAGGAATTAATGTGGCGCAAGCAACGACTTTCTGGAATTATTCATCCCTTTGGTGTAGTAAGAGAGCGCGTGGATGATGCTAATGTTCGCATTTGCCGGGTCATCACCCGCGGCACTAAATGATGCCGCAGCAGGAACCGCGAGACCGCTGCAGGAACTGTTCCTGCTGACATTTCACTACAAAGGTGGAACTCATGAGCCGTGCAGCAGGATATTAGCTTCATTGCCGGTACTTGAGGGAATTTGTGTCTTTCGGCGACTTCCGATGATAGTAGCGAGAGGTTTTTGCTTCACTCAAACTGAATTTTTTTCAAAAAAAACGAAAAAAGACGAAATGGTTCAGAAAATAACATAAACGTGATTTAAGTCAGACATATTTATTCGAGAAAAACATTAAAATTATCTCGAACTGAGAGACATCTTTGTACTATATCACACAGATCGCTTCATGTACTAACTAAACACCCTTTCTTTGACAAGAGAAGTTTACGTCTTCCTCTTTAAATAAACGAGCTTGAACTAAGATGAAATAATATTATTTAAGCGTCTTGTGCTAGGTTAAAATAAATAGTACTTGTTAGAGCAGAATTCTAATCTTGTCTATTTCTGGTGGCATTGCTTTTTTCAATTTTGTCGGCTCCCAATTAGCGCAACTTGTGGTAAAAGTTTTGTTATTCGATTAATTAGCGTAATTACACATGTCAAAGCCGTCTTATCACCCATCGATTTTGTGTCGTTTTCCAATGATTTAATGAGGAATGTCCAACAATTATTGACATGGCGTTGTAAATTATTGTTTATTGTCTGCGACAGGACCGTCGTGAAGAGGAAGAAACGGCCGTGAATAAGTAATGAGACACGACTGTATTCATTCAGTGATCGAACAGTTGGAGAATGCAGATTGACGGTATTAAACGAGTCATTGTTTATTTAGATCGCATGGACAAATGGGACATAATTTTCAAGAAAGCGAATTCTGACAAGAAGTTTTAATTTGCCGACATGTTGAATTTCGATCGAATTTTCACAAAGTAATTTATAACTGGTAATCTTGGTGTTACATTATTTGGTTTGTAAATTACGACGAGAGCATATCTACAATTTATTCATAAACTTGGGTATTGTTATGCAAAACATGGTGGAATTTAATTTCATCAAGATTTATTGTAGGCGCCGTGAAAGTGAACGATGAGGACTCCTCCTGAACACCTACGCGATTTTTGCAATGGCTTTTACAAATTTTAAAGAAAACATAAAGTACATATTAAGCACGACAGAACAGTAAAAATTGATAAACAAATATTGGTGTTAATTGTGAAAAAAAGCAACAATTTAAACATTTAAAAAGAATTAGCTTTTAATATTAAATAATAATAGAATGAATAATAAAAGAACCCATATTATTATTATTATTACTATAAAGACTAATGCATATACTACTAATACTTGTGTGTCTTTTTTATTACTTGAGTTTGATGTTGGCTCGGTAGTAGTTGGAATAGTTATCATTTCTGTTCCTTTCGCTGGGTTAAAAGTTGCTTCCGATGTGACTGTTTTATCAGTGTGGTTTTCAATCCAAGACTTATAATAAGGCAAATATGTGTATACCATTTGATTATTCAAAGCTCCAGACACAATACCTATCTGTGTGTTACCATTGTCAACGATTAAAGGTCCACCAGAGGCTCCCGGGGTAATGTTATGAACAAAGATAGTGCAGATTAATGAATCGTTTTTTATCGTTTCTTGGCATTCTTCTCTTTCTGTACGTGTCTTCTCCAATTCATTTTCGTTTTCAGGCCAAAAGTAAACGTAAAAATTGGTTTGATCTTCATTGAGATATTCAGATATTAAAATATTTGCAATGTTAGGTGTTTCATCTATTTTCCTCTTGTCGTTATCATTTAATTTGATTAGCGCAATATCGTTATGATAGAGTGTATCTCCATCTTCATAGTGATCGTGGATAATTATGTCACTGTTGTCATATCGTTTAAATTGTACACCAGGCTGTGACGAGTCGAATATATTTTGTGTTCCAAGTATGACTCCATAATGTTCAACACTACAATAGCAAATTGTTTTTTATCTCTTGATACTATATTAGCGGCAAATTAGTGTACTTACCTAAAAAAGTGAGCGGTTATTGTTATCAATTTATACGATTTTTGCAACTAGTTTTAAAAACAGTTTCATTTTTATAGTTTACAGTAGTTTACTTTCTACAAGCTTTTAGTTCCAGTGCAAAATTACTTACTTACTCTTTAACACAATGGGCTGCAGTTAATATAAAACCATCGTTAATATATGTTCCAGCACAGTTTTTTGAACTCTGGTTTTTTGACACACAGATCAAATAGATCATAAATGTGGGTTCATCTTGTCCATGATAATAAGGTATCAAGAATCCTGTTATTGAAGGCACATACGTGAGAATATATAACTGTATATTTACTAATTTGCAATAACTTACCTAATATGATACAAATAAAAGAATACCACATTACAAACCTTTTATAAAGACACGACTTTAAGGAATGAATCAACTTTTAATCAATCTTTTTTAATCTTAAGATGAGCAGATATAAGTATATAAAATACCTACAAGATAAGTAGCACGTAGCAAAATTTAATGATGAAAAAGCAAATTTTTTTTTAAATAATTTTGTCTACTAGGTACCTTTAATTTAGCATAGTTGGTTTTGCTTTCCTTCTTATTTTTTGATTTTTATTTATTTGTATTTTTATGCCTGTTATACTGATTCAGTGAAAGTTTTATCAACATTTATTTGTGATAATGACATTAATCATTGATTAGTTTTATTGTATGTATCACATGTAAAAAATGCGGAATATGAAACGTTGCTCACTTCAGGAAATATAAAAAAATACTTTAATTTTTAGAGGATATAATTATAATTACTTGAACAGTTTTAACATCATTTGCAGCAAATTTAATCACGGTAATCCACGACTCTTGTATACACCGAGGAACTGCACGTTTTACGCAATGGCCTTCCAAAAGAGGTAAGTCCAAAAAGTACAAAATCCAAACTCAAAAAACTACCAGAATCACCAACACAGGTTTTTTTATTTTTTACATCCAATTAAATGTAAAACTTTTACTTCTTTTTTTTTAAAGATCATCAGAGATATTTTTATTCGCCGGCCAAGGAACTTCTTTGTACAACCTCCGTTTCATAGAGATAATTTTTACTGAAATCACTACATGGTGGTAGTTTTGCTACTTAGATATTGTCAATATTTTTTATTTGTATGTCCAGTTGTCGATAAGATAAAATAGACAAATTTCATTACCAGGAAGGGGACAATAAAACATTAAATTTCATTGTTTTTATTGTTTCATTATCATCAAATTACGACATTTATACATATAGATTGAAAGATATTTAGTTGAAAGGTAAGAACAACTGTTTCCGTGCTATATTTGGTTGTTATAAAAACCTTATTTAGTTATTTAGTTATTTAGTTATAAAATTATTACATCAGAATTTTCAGCAATCCAGTCTAGGTAATCCACGACTCTTGTATACACCGAAGGACTGCACATTTCACACAATTCTGTTCCGAAAGACGTAAGTCCAATAAGCACCCCATCTAGACTTAGAGGACCACCAGAATCTCCATTACAAGTTCCTTTATTTCTGTATCCCGAAGTACAAAGGTTTGTATTGACAACATAAGTAGTATCATCGTCATTGTAATACATTCCACATTCGGTTAAATTCGAAACTTGCACATCGACTTTCAAAAGAACATCAGACATGTCTCTAGTAGTTGGAAAAGGAACATCTTTGTACAAGCCCCAACCAGTAGCTGTGACCGTTTCATCGAGATAACTTCTACCTGAATCACTACTGGGTGGTAGTTTTGCTGCTTGAATATTATTATTATTAGGGGCTGATTCTGACAACTGAATCAAGCAAATATCATTGCGGAGAGTTGCAGAATCATATTTTTCGTGGTTTTTGACTTCGTTATTAGAGATTATGATTTGGGTGTCTTCTGAAGGATTAGAAATGTTGTGAGCGCCCAAAATCACATCAACTGAGTTAATTCTATAAAGCAAATTCGTAAAAATTATTTGTGAAAATAAAAAACACTTACACTTCGCAACAATGACCAGCTGTAAGAACATAGTTTGATGAAATAAGAGCTCCCCCACAGAAGGCATTTCCATTGATTTTTACACCAACTTGATATGGAACGGAATGAGGTACTACTTCATCTCCTCCTATAATTCGAACTTTTGAGGGTGCAACGTGAGCCTGAATGAGCTTTAAGTTGGGTTCGCAGACACTGTAATGGCTTAGAGCCAGAAAGGCTAACAGGATTGCTTGCTTTGACATTTTGGACAACAGTGATAAAAAAATTAATGTAGAGATTTATACAAAGTTATCGCGAGATAAAATTTCAAGAACAATGTAATTGACAATGGTAATCAGTACTTCTTTTGTGTTTATTGTCAACGTGGCTACATATTTTGATTTAGGCAAAAAACAATGTGTAACATTGATTTGTATAGTAACCATTCAACATAAGAAATACTATTGTTTAAAATTTGACTATCGATCCACTCGTTATAACTTCCAACGTCTGTGTAGATAGACGAACCATCATTATCTTTATCTCCTCTTGAAACTGTACCAATTTGCATTGATTCGCAATTAAGAGGCTCTCCCGAATCTCCTTTGTAAGGGCCATTTTCACCAAAAGCACAAATTTTAGATAAAAACATTCTTCCTTGAGCGTAACAATTTTTTACAACAATTTGTCATTAAAGTCTTTACTTGAAGTTGCCCAACCTAAAGTAAAACATCTTTTTTCGTATGTATAGAGAAATGGAGAAATGACTTAAAAAAATAAGTCTAATATCAGGGTTATAAGGTGTTGTATTATTTCTAAAACCCTTATGAACAATAAATTTTGAAAAATAACAGGAAGGGAACAATAGAAAATAGTAAATTTGATTGTTTTTAATTTGTATTGTTTTGTTATCGTTGCAACATCTTGACATAAATTTAGACCTAGATATATTTAGTTATTAAAAACCTAATGTAATTACTTTATTTCAACATCAGAATTTTCAGCAATCCAGTCTAGGTAATCCACGACTCTTGTATACACCGAAGGACTGCATATTTCACACAATTCTGTTCCGAAAGACGTAAGTCCAATAAGCACCCCATCTAGACTTAGAGGACCACCAGAATCTCCATTACAAGTTCCTTTATTTCCATATCCCGAAGTACAAAAGTTTGTATTGACAACATAAGTACTATCATCGTCATTGTAATACATTCCACATTCAGTTAAATTCGAAACTTGCACATCGACTTTCAAAAGAACATCAACTTTTGAAGGTGCAACGTGAGCCTGAGTGAGCTCTAAGTTGGGTTTGCAGACGCTGTAATGGCTTAGAGCCAGGAGGGCTAACAGGATTGCTTGTTTTGACATTTTGAACAACAGTGATAAAATATAACTGTAGAGATTTTATATAAAGTTATCGCGAGATAAAATCTCAAGAAAAATATAATTGACAATGATAATCAGTACTTCTATTGTGTTTATTGTCAACGTGGCTACATTTTTTGACTTAGACAAAAAACTATGTGTGACATTGGTTTGAACACGTTTAGTATAGTAACTATTAAGAATAAGAAATACTATTATTTAAAATTTGATCATCGATCCACTTGTTATAACTTCCAACGTCTGTGTAGATAGACAGACCATCATTATCTTCATCTCCTCCTGAAACTATACCAATTTGCGTTGATTCGCAATTAAGAGGCCCTCCCGAATCTCCTTTGTAAGGGCCATTTTCACCAAAAGCACAAATGTTAGATAAAAAACATTCTTCCTTGAGCGAAACAAGTTTTTCCAACAATTTGTCATTGAAATCATTATTTGAAGTTGCCCAGCCCAAAGTAAAACAGCTTTTTTCGTACGTATAGAAAAATGGATTATTAGACAACGCAACAGTGTTAATTTTGTCATTAAGGATAATTGATTGACTTAAAAAAATAAGTCCAATATCATGGTTATAAGGTGTTGTATTATTGGTAAAATTCTTATGAACAGCAAATTCTGAACTTTCTAACTGTACACCATTGTCGGTTAAATCGTTAATTCCTAGTAGAATTGAAATTTCATTTGCACTGGAAAATAATTTAAAAATAACATAGAACTACAAGCAAACAAAAATTGTATATTTACTCAGAAATACAATGAGCGGCTGTTAGAATTGTATCATTCGTGATTAAGGTTCCAACACAAAACTTGTTTGTGGTCGGATTATTTAAAAAAACCACATACGGGTAGTATGTAATTGGAGTAGTGGTAGTAATAGTAGTAGTGGTAGTAGGAGTAGTGGAAAACAATATTACGAGAAGAGAAACAAGTAAGAGTAATACACATATTATTATTCCAGCAAAACAAATAGCTGAAATAATGGCTTAAGTAAATATTTTGATTAAAACATTAATAAGTAATAAAAATGCTGCTGTACTCACCCGGGTGTTTAATTTTTGTTTTGTTCTTATAAGAGCGACGCATTGTGTGCAGTATCATTATAAACTAAATTATAAATGATTCATAGATAATTTAAGTAGATATATTAGATTAAAAACATCTATCTAGTATAGAAAAAAATAACCTAGAAACTTGAATTGATATATGAATATGAATAAACAATATTATTACCAAAACTTAGACCCTCAGCAATTTTCAATAATATTAAACAGTTTCTTGATTTTTTATTAACAATCAAAAATTCCATGCAATTTTTTTCAAAACTGTAAATTTTGACAATACTATACAGGGTGATTCAGATAAGATAATGAGCCCGACGTTCTGACGATTCAACCCAAAAAATAAATTTCATTTAGGTATGTCTTAATCTAATTTTAATTACGATTTGCATTTGCAATCCAAATTATCTTATCTTGCTCTGACAGTGCTTTGACAAGCAATTAATGATTTATAAAAAAACTATTTGCCTACCTTTAATGATTCATTCTTTCATACATTTTGTATTTTGTATTAGACTAATTTAAATTGGAGCAAAGGCGTAAATGAAATTTGTTTTTTGGATTGCACCGCCAGATCGTAAGGCTCATTATCTTTTCTGAATCGCCCTGTAGTTTTCGTTGGGAGAGTCGATATGTCCCCCAAGTTTAAAGAAAACGTTTAAAAAAAATTCCAACTCTCAAGGATTTTTTTCCACCGATTGCTCTATTTTTGTCTAATTTGAGTGGACTATGGTTCGTTACACAATTATGAAAAATCAAAACATTATTATCTTTCTCTTTTTCCTTTTTGTTTTTAATACATAGGGCGCGCCAGAACTCGTGCCCCAGAGAAAAATGCCATGTAAGGTAAGATATCAAGAACATGAAAAAAATGTTAAAAACATTCGAAGTTATGAGAGTTTAAATTTTGCACTTTTATTCTTATTTCTTTTGGAAAAATAATTTTCCAAGTTTTTTTGCTACAGGCTATTAGAAGAGGAAACAATGAAGCTGTATCTTAAATTGTAACTCTGTTTAATGTTATTTGATGCTTTTGTGGCAAAATTTTTGTACCTTTACTAAATATTATAAAAAACAAATCAGTATCATTAAATAGACATAAAATAGTCTTAGTCAAATCCTGTCGGATTTGATTAAGAGTTTCATTTTTATTTAGTAAAGTGTCAATTGACACTTTTCAAATCATCGTGCTCCTATAAAAACAGTTGGGGAGACTAAGAAAGTGTCAGATGTACTTAATTAAAAAAATTCTAGACTTGCAAAAAACATTTTAAAATTAAGGAAATGCTTAAATTTAAAAAATGTCAATCCAGATTTTTCAAAACATCGTGCTACAAAAGACAGTTGGGGAGACTATGAAAGTGTCAGTTATACTGCATTAATAAATTTATAGACTTGCAAAAAACATTTAAAAATTTCTTAAAGAAATGCTTACATTTTAAAAAATGTCAATCCAGACTTTTCTAAACATCGTCCTACAAAAGACAGTTGGGGAAACTAAGAAAGTGTCAGATGTACTGAATTAAAAAAAATTCTAGATTTGCAAGAAAACATTTAAATATTTCTTTAAAAAATGCTTAAATTAAAAAAATGTCAATCTTGACTGCTTTACAAAAGTTAAGAAAGTCGCATTATTTTTACAACAATCAAATTTTATTTTTCTAAGCATTGCGGAATCCAGCAAAAATAAAAAAGTAAAAAGATATCTGCTTTTGTCTCACTTTAATCAATTAATTATTGAATTAACTTTTGGGGATTTGTCTTATGAGAATTTAAACACCATTTTGTTTACTTATACTCCTTAATAATTTTTGCTAATAGTCAGAAATTTAGTAGCTTGATTTTTATGGTGTCAGTTTGTGATCCCTTCAAAACGTGATCTTGAAACCCATTGGAGTCTAATAAGCCGTGTCCATCCTGGAATTGATTGAGCGATCTTTGCCCCGTCAAATTACCGCAATCTTAATAATGCACCCTTGTTTGTGCCTATTAATTCGGTTATCTACCCTTCTCCCAAAACTGCATAATTGATTTTTTATCTGTCCACTTTACGATGTCAGTAAACCCGGCAAACGTTGTACAATCATGCAATCCTCTCATACTAAATCGAATTGTTGCTCCAAGAACAACAGTAAATTTGTCAACAATCACTAATGAGCTCCTCAAACATGAATTACGATCTCGCATTAATCATTACGCTGTAATTGATGTATCAAGCAGCGAGGCATCCACTAAACAGGCTTGTACTCTAATTAGTCATCTGAACGTTTCAATTTTTGGCTCTTCGTCGCGAAAGGATAATTTTTCTTTGTGTGAATTTCGAACGCTGGTTGGTATTTTCAGCTGATGGGTGCTTCGCACGCGAAATCGTAAATTGGTCGACTACACGATGACATTCCTGTTTGGTTTTATTTATGGCGTAATTATATTTCGTTATCTTGAAATCAGTAGGCTTTTATTTGTTGTGTTGTATAATAGCGAGAATTTTTATGCTTTTGTGCCATGCGAGAGTGTGAAAACGGCCAGGGGTTAGCGCAAACAGAATTTAGAACGGCTGTTTAAGCCACAGGGAGAATAGATTAAAAAAAAACAAAACGCATTCAATTTCCCGGGATTTTTAAACACAAGACAAGATTGTCGGTTTGTTGTATTTGGACAATTAGGAAGAAACGGGAATTATTGATTTGGGGCTTATTTTCGGCTGTAAACATCGTCGAAAGGGTTGAAAGGGCGGCTTTGTTGGAAGTTAACGTGCAAGTCTGGAATAGTATTTGTCACTGTTTTGAGGACATTGATGAATGTGGTCTCTACATCGATTGCTTCACTCTTATCGACAACTTCACAATGGAGACACTTTGCTAGACACGGTGTAATAAATCAGAGGAAATCTGAAAACGGGATCGACCCTTCTTCCGAAACGACACGAGATGCGGAGGTCGAACGTGACAATTAGATGATAATAAAGAATGTTTGGGAAATGGGAAAAAACACAAGAGTGCAAACAAAAGCAAAAATAATCTTGTAAGGGGTAATCAAATAAACCTGAATCAAAATTTTTATTTCCAAATATTTGGGAAAATAAACTTGAACTTGTTCTTTTCAAATTAGATGGAATTAGTTGAATACGAATTATTATTATCAGATGAGTAGGAGATAATAATAGTAATAAAAAAATTGACGAAAGATAAAGACAATATAAAAATTAAAACAGTACTTAGAAGTACTTCTAACGTATATATCAAACAATAAATATCTCAAAATAAAATTATGACATACAGGGGGAATTATTATTATCAGATGAGTAGGAGATAATAATAGTAATAAAAAAAATTGACGAAAGATAAAGACAATATAAAAATTAAAACAGTACTTAGAAGTACTTCTAACGTATCTATCAAACAATAAATATCTCAAAATAAAATTATGACATACAGGGTGCGCCAGAATTCGCCTCTCAGAGAAAAATGCCATATAAGGTAAGATACCAGAAACATGGAAAAATGTTAAAAAAATTTTATCTATAAAAATTTCAAAGTTATGAGAGTTTAAATTTTGTAATTTGACTCTATTTATTTCTGTTGGAAAAATAATTTTCCAAGTTTTTTTTGCTACAGTCTATTAGAAGAGGAAACAAAGAAGCAGTATCCTAAATTGTAACTCTGTTCAATGTTATTTGTGGCTTTTATTGGCAAATCTTTTGTACCTTTACTAAATAATTGTAAAGAAACATATACAAGATCATCAGTATCATTAAATAGACATGAAAAAATGTGAAATGTCAAAAAATATATGTCAACATTTTTTGACAGATAGAATTTTTTAAACATTTTTTTCATGTTCCTGGTATCTTATCTTACTTGAAATTCTTCTCTGGGGCGCGAGTTTTGGCGCACTCTGTATTTTTTAAGAAATCCAGAAATAGAAAAAACGAGTGTGTCATCAATCAAATAATTAGAAAAAACATTTTTTATGGTCTAGTAAAGGTAGGATAACGTTCCACTAGACGGAATTTAAGTATTTGAGTAGCCATATCGTCATTTTTGTGTAAAATAAAATATATTTTATCCACTATCACTCTATAAAGAGACTTTATTCCACATTTTAGATGCGTATAAACTACCACTTTATTCACTAGTGAAATAAAGTAACTTTATTCTACTGTTATTAACCAGCGCACCGCGTAACAGCTTACTATGTTTAACCAAAAGCACATTTGGCGTGACGTTTAAATGTCAGTTTAAAATTAAATTTAAATGTAATTATCAATTTAAGTAATTTTTTTGTGGTGTTCGTAGAAAAAGTATAGTATGTAACACGTCTATAAACTTCTCTAGACATTCGTTTTATTAAACACTCGCCTCGCTGTGCTTTGCTCGTGCCTAATAAAACTCATGTCTAAAGTGGCGTTTATAGCACTAGTTATATAATATACAATTAGAACATTTTTTTTATGATCAACTGCAAACAAAAATCAAAGATATTTTTTTGCTAAAAATGTATTATAATATTCTGTTACAAATATATATTTTTTAGATAAGAAAAAATCAAGCTTTTCAAAATTGCGATAGCCAATTAGCCACCTTTGACTTTCATTTAAAAAATACAAGTTTATCTTATTACAGCTAAACAAATAACTAAAAATGTCAACTTTTGTCTATAAGTCTATAATGTACCCCAGGACATATCACTCGATTTTGGCTAAATCTCTTAGTTTCGTAAATTTTCTATTTGGACGTCTAAAATGCAGTACCCTGTACATCAATTTTTGAGAATTCTAAGTAATCTCTCTAAACTAATAACTCTAATAAAGATATTGATATTAATTTTCTAGTAATCCACGTGTTGATCAGTAATTAAGTTCGTGTTCATTTAAAATACTAAAATAATCGGTTATTTTAGAACATGATTAACAGTAAAACTATTTGAATAGAGTGAATAATTTAATCGAAAATTGCAAAATCGGTAATTTTGTAAAAAATTGTGACGCAGAATTGGTTTATTGCCTCGCATTTAGAATAATGCGATTATCGCGAAATTTTTCTTTCCTTTTCCTGTCGGTAGAAATCCGTGTGGCTCGAAATTATAAAATCGCCCTCGATTTATAGCCAGTTTTGTTCCGGTTTCCTGTTTCGTCCCTCTATTCTTCGTCCGGTTTTCCCCAAGCACGTGAAAATTGCCCTCATAGATCATTTCGTTAAAATTTTGATTAAATTAAACGAATTCCGTGAAAATGAAGAAGCGTCGCTAATCACGGCCCCGGAAACCGCTGATAAACGATCCTGTTACGATTTTAAATTAAACTCGCGTCCAATAAATTAATCCGAAGTGACACGGCCGAATTCGTGGCGATAAATCAGCTTTTTCAATTTTATCGCTCGGACAGATTCGATATCCAAATTACTTGTGCGAGGTTTTTTTAATGTTAGTTTTATTCGGACAGTGGAATCGTCTTCAGATCGGAAAGTCGTAAATCTGGAGCGATAAAATCATTAGCGAAATGCATTTCCTGTGGCTAATGGCGGGATAAATTATGTTTAATAATTATATTTCGCGACGAGATTATCGACCACTGCGGGCACAACTCCGACAGGAATTTATGAAATTTTCGATATCGAGATTACAGGACGCTAATCTAGGCCATTTAATAGGATTCTATTTTACACGCTGCTGAATATTGCATGAAACAATGACATTTCCAATGTAGATCCTGCGGATAATTTATTTAAAAATGCGATACGAGTGTAAATTGTTTAAAAGGAGGAAATGCATTAAACGCTTATGAATGATGAACAAATAAAACTCGAGTCTTTCCCAATTCACAATTCCAATTTCTCGCGCAATAACTCTTTTCATCTTCTCCGAGACGTTGTTTACCGGACATTATTGAAAATGTTTCCGGACGTTTGAGAGAATCGCTTTAGCAAGTTGGCAAAACTCGACTTTAGACGTTATGAATCTTCCAAGACATAGGGCTTGCTTAATATCACCTTAGTTTACTGCAATAACACCGTTGCTAAGGCTACCAACTACCCTTGCAATCACCCCCAAGATTTATATTTATTCTCGACGGGATGCGAGGGTGAGACGCTGCACTGGCCTGCATTCATTCACTCAACCTAAAACCTGATAAAAGATAACAAATAACTTTGAATCAGATAACAAAGTCCACCCTGAATTTACTAGTGAACTTGAACCTGATTTCTATCTAATCTGGAATTAGATAATGATACGTCATTATTGATTTTACTGACGTTATATTTATATTTATTTTGTAGTTGTAAAAAATATTTCTTTAATTTTTTTTCAAACCATAAAATCAAGTCGAACGTGCTTTTAGCCTCAAGCGCCCCCTAAAACCTCCCCTTTATGTCAATTCCATGACAGGAGCAAGTTGCGTCGGATTTATGACACGTCAGGTGAGGATAAAACCCACCCTCTCATGTTTTGCATTTATTTTTGTCATCTTGGAGGGTTATTAGACACGGCTTTTTACAAATGATGTCTAATCCTGAAAGCTGAAACTTGGCACTTTGTAATCCGGAGCTGACCGCATGAATTTGCCGCCCTCTCTTAAGTTAACCCCCAGCGACCCTCGTCACAACCAACTTACCACTTTGTTATAGGATTGTACGGTGTTATTAACCCTTCAGGACAAAGGAAGTATCTGTAATCGGGATGGAAATGTAGGTTACGATGTTGCCGACTAACTGATTAAACTGATACGTCTTTACGAGAAGAGGGAAAGGTGGAAGTCGGGGTTGGAGACCCACATACTTGCTTATAGCAGACAGACTTATTTTAGAAATTATAAAAAATATACAACTTTTTGATGGCCTTAGCAGCAATATACCAGGTGAATAAAAAGTATGGAACCAAACGTTTATTGCTTAAACTATTTATTTTTTGGGAAAACTAATTGAAAAATTATGTTTTAGCAAAAATAAAAATTTTCGAATTTTTTTTTTGTTTTTGAGTTTTACAAAATTTTTATTTTCTTAAATGGCAACCCACTATAAAACCATTTTTCTCATGAAGGTTACAATCTAAGGATTACCACTATCTACTTTTATTTAATTTTTTCAAAAATTTTTCTTACATAAGTTGCAATTTTGCCAAAAAAAATCATATATCTCAAAAACAAAATTTCGTTTTCTTAATATTATGATCACATTTTTTATATTAATTTAATTCATATTAATGATTATTTTTTGGAGGCCAATAATTTTTAAAAAATCGCTTGATTCCATACTTTATATTCACCCTGTGTATTCATTTGAAGTTCTTTGTTTGTGGCGGTAAAAAATAAATTGTGTATTTTTTTTCATGCAATTTGAACGATACTTTTTTTCATAAAAATTATTGAATTTTGCAATCCGTTACAAATATTCAAAATGAGAAATAACTCTGTGTTATTGTGTGTGTGAGATACTGATTTATAGTAAAATTCAGGAGGGTAGACCGGTGCGTCATCAATTTCATTTTTTCCTTACCAACTTAAAAGTGCAATAAAAAAATCTATCACAATGTAAATTGAAAGAATTAAAGGGTCTCTAAGGATAGTAGCCTTGAATATTAATTTACGTATGTACTTCAACTACACCACTTAAAAGTCATGTTTGAGTGAATTTGTCAATTTGACATTGACAGTAACATTATTGTCGTCGTTGAAAGTCTTTTTGGTATAATTTGCAAGGATTTTTCGTTTATTGGTGGATTTCATGCTTTTGTTCTGCTTCTCATTGGTTTCTTTTAATAATTCCTTACGATTAAGTAACTTCTATGAAATCAGGCATAAATGCACTTGTGTTATTGTGAAAAATTAAAATAATGAGGGCTCACCGATTAAAATTAGCCCCCCTTCATCCTTTATTTATTCTACAAAAAATTGGGCCAATCTTATAAAAGACCATTCAAATGCTGTTTTGTGTGTCTGCTATGGCACAAACCACACTCTCTAAATAAAATTGTGATTATTTGAGATATTTGAGGTAAATATGAGCGTTGTTTAAGAAGTCCATTATTTAATGAAGTAATTAACTGTACAAACTGAATTCGACTCATTATTTTGACTCTCACATAAGAAATTTTCTGGATTTCCTAAGATCAGAATAAATGCTTCTTAACGTTTATTGTTTGTTTTCGAAGCATATAAGATGCAACTTTATTTTGTAGACGTCTTGAATTTCAACTTTTTCTTTTTTCTTACCTGGAAGATTGCATAAGATCGTCTATGGTTTTAAATCCTTAAAAAAAACTCAATGTAAGAAATTAGCTTCTTGTTCATGCTCCTTATATTTATGATGATTCCTATTTATGAAATACAGATTTTGCATCCGTTTTCTTCTTAACTTACCCACTGTTATTTAGAAAATCGGTTTTATACTGATGTACCCTAAAAATTCCGAGTTTTGGATACAACATCCAAAAGCATTGGAAAACATAATGATGGAATGAACACACTGCCATTTCCAATCTATTACATTAAATTTTATATTTAGATATTCAACCTAACGTCAAAAAATTGACGTTTTGTCATCGCGATGTAAACGTGGTGAGGAGAAACGTCAGATGACGCACCGGTCAACCCCCGTGATTTTTCGTATAATTCACGAATAACATCCAATTGTTAAAAAAAAATTTTGTTTACTGTTTTTCTTAAAAATTCAATTTATTTTTCGTTTGTTTGAAGACTTGTTTGAAAAGCTTTCCGTTGAGCATGGTCTCTACACAAGCGACAAATTCTTCTGGTGGTACATTTTGGAACTGACTAAAGATGTAGTGGCATTTATGGATCGGTAAAGTAGAGAAACTGTAATTTTGGAGTTTCAAGTAGAAATACCAAAAATACACAAATCTCAAAATAAAAAGAATTAGGAGTATAATTTTTAATAAATTATGTACTTTATTTTTTGTTTGTTCTAATTCATTATAACTATCATTGTGGCGACACCATCTATTTATCTTTCTGTTTTTAACTATAGAAATTAAAAGAAACAAAGCAAAATAATTACACTGGCCGCCAAAATTAACCGGACAACCAAAATTTTGCGATTTTTCACATTGTAATAATTGTGTTATTCTTTGTCGGATTTCGACGAATTTTTGTTTGGCTTAAAAGAAAAACTTTATAGAATTATAGATCATTGTAATTTAATTCAATAACATTTCTAGTTTTGTCTTCTAAATGTGATTCTCAAAAGCAAAGGCACTGTGTTTTTTACTTATTTTTATACTGAGCTGTGGTGTGCGACAGAGATAAACTTAAGTTTTTATTGATTTCAGATTATTGCCTATTCTTTTCAGAATTATGCACCACATTTTTTAAAATTTTAATTCTTAAGACATGACAGATATAAACCTTCAAAAAAAAAAGGATTACATTTCCAATTCTAATGAATGTTCGTATTATTTAGGCCAAATGTCTCAATAAGCGCATGGAAGCTTCCAATAATTAACTTGTTGTAATCCTTTGAAGTTTCAAGTTTTTTAGATTTTTTGTGTTTAAAGACATAATTGTGCTCTTTTGGTGACATAAGCAATAATTTTTTATTTAACTACCTTTTTATGTGGCCTACTTTCTGAATGAATATTTAGTAGTATCAATATTTTCAATCAAGGAAAATTTCGTTAAAAATTTAAATGTAATTTTATAAATTAGTCACTAAATTACTTTATTCTAAAAAAGAAATGTACATAAAATAAAATTTATAAAAGAAATAAATAGAAGTGGAGGCCCTAACTCCTTGGTTCCATTATAGAATTCTAGGAAAAAAAATGCTGGTTCAGGAGCTATCTGGCCAATTGGGAGAAACTCGCTACTAAGTCCTGTTTCCGTTTTTTCAGCCTTCTGCAATTATTACTCCTGGTGATTGTTTTAATCTCGTTCCAATCACCACTACCATACATAACATTCTTATAATTACCGCTTCAGGTGTTCGATCTTTCAACAACCACAAAGAGAAATATTATCAAAAAGCCCACGTACTTTCCGATTTCGAAATGTTTATTTTCCTACGAACAATAGATTTTATGAAAGCGCTTTACTTTTTTCTTTGCTTGTGTCGAGTAATAACTGCCTACTTAAATCAAATCAAAATAGCCCTCGCTCGAATAAAAATATAACAATGAATGCGTAATAAATTCAGATAAGATCGTTTAAACGGTTATAAATGCGCTCCTGGGGGCGAAGCCGAACAAGTACCTAGTTCGACTCGAAAGCTCTTCATAGGTATTGTCCTGAGGCAGCTGGCGAGTAATTATAACATCGCCGACAGCCCCACCAGACTCATAATGAGGCAGACTCAGCGGCTATTACTCGCTAAAATTGAAATAATGATACTTGCGGCTCAAATACATTTTCAAGACCAGGATGTATTCTACATTTATTTAATTACTTTGAGCTTTTTTCCTACAAGCCGCTCATAAATTTACAACCGCCTCGAGTGACTCAAAGAAACTTTGATATTTCTATTAAAAAGCAAAGAACTATCTCGTAATAATTTCTTCTGTTCTTATTCAAGTTTCTTTTAATAGCAACCGAAAACTCTATTGTAATTTAAACGTGATATAAGTTGGCCGCGAGGGAAATAAAATGCATTTATTCCGGCTAGATTGCGGCTGAAAGTTGAGCTTTTCGAGCTTTGTTTCATTTTAAAGTTACAAGATCTCATTTCGATATTAATTAAGCTGTCGCTATTAAAACTCGTTACAACTAAACGAATTGGATAGTCCCTTCCACTATAAATATAATTAAAAGCTCTGTCCGAATTTTCACGTGATTGAGCTTTGGCGACCAACAATGCATTTGCTAAATCCCGAACCCCGATTTAATTAAAAGCCCTAATCCGGCCTCTCTGTTTTGTTTCTGTTTAAATAAATTCCAAAAGTGGGTGATTTTATCACGACGACGTGAGTTCCTCTAATAACTCAACTATCTTTATGACGCTGTCATACAACGTTTTAATTAAAATATTCATAAAGCTGGAGGACTAGCCGAACAACGGCGATTAAGATCTAATTAGGCTTTTTGTGTTGTTCAATCTACGGAGAGCTTAAAAGCTTCGCAAGCGACGAAAGAAAGTCATAGGTTAATTACAAGCTGAAAGCTTCCTTCTTGGATGAGTTTATTTAAAGAAAATTGACCGAAGAGTGTTGTTATGTCTGCGACGAGCTTTTAATTATTCACTTGAATCAGTACTTGACTTTGGGGAAAAATTCAATGAAAGTTTTATTCTAAAAGCACGATGCATTTTTAATTACAACAAGAGTTAAAATCGAGTCGAAGGAAATATTTAATGGTGAGCTTTTAGGTAAGGAACGAGTTGGAGAGGGCCAGAAACGGGTCGACAGTTTTATTTTATTGTTTAAATTAATAATTATTTAATTACAACTGTCGCCTAAATAATGAAATATAAAATAAGATATGAAAAAATCGTAACCAAAAGTTATTATTAAAAAGGAGGAAACAAAAAATGAATTATTTTTAATCGCTTTATCGCAATAAAATTTTTTTATTTATAAACAATAAATTATCTTTCATGACGTTATTTGTCATTTGCAAAATAATGTGATTAAGCGATAATTCCGGTTCCTTTTTCCTCGTCTGACGAAATTCGTTTCCCTCGAAATTATAAAATCGCCCTCAATTTATTTCCAGGTTCGGTTTTCCGGTTTCCGGAGTTGGGGATTTTAGCCGTCTGTTATTTCTGCATAATTTTATAAATTCTTTAGTGAGAAACCACAAAATTTCAATTAAAAAAAATGGAATAGCAGGACGTAAAACTGTCTTTACTGTGGTAGACTGGCACCGTAATGAGTCTATTCTAACAAGATTTCCATCCGAAATCGAAAGAGTCACGAGGGATAGAATAGACAATCTTCGATAAGTAAA